ATTGCCTTGGCCGTAAACTCCCTTTGTTCTTGGATTCTTGGTGTTTTCAAGTCCTTAAATCATTATCCTAACTAATAAACATGTAAAGGAGGTAAGGACTTACAATTTGAAGGCTAAAGAGGGGTGTTTTCGGCCCAAAACACTTTTGTGTTCTTGGTGTTCTTGAAGATCTTGAAGATCTAGATCAAAAGATGGAATTTGTGGATGGATTCACGGATGAATCAAGAAAAGTGATTTGAAACAACACATAGATGGAAGGGTTTACTTACATTTGTAAAGATTTGAAGGAGAAATCTCGAAGATCATTGGGAGAGAATCTGATTTCTCTAGCTTGGAAGGTGAAGCATGAATGAAAAATGACTAAGTGTCATGCATATACAAGGGGTTTACGGCCACCATGTGTTTACGGCCGTAAACCCATATGGTGTGGTCGTAAACTCCACATGATGATGGCTAGGGCTTGATTGATAGTTTACAACTTCACTTAACACTTCCTTTCACTTATTCTTTTGATGAATTAAGCTCAGAATGCTCAAATAGACTCTAAACTGTGCTAAAACTTAGCAGGAGTAAGTTTGACTAGATTGAAATGTAGGGTTTGTACAAGGTGGAAATTTCGGGTTGTCACACTTAGTGACTTTGCATGCCCCAAAAGAACCCAATCTCGAAATATAACATCCTACTTCCATTAAATGAACTCAAACTCATGCATGGGTTTTTATAAGCCTTGAAGGAGACAACTTTATCTAGAACCTCAGAAACACCAAGAGTGGCAACTCATAGCTCCTAGAGTGGTACCAAACCACTAGATCTCATTCCTGGGGCAAAAAAAGGATCAAAACCCATACCACATAGATCTAAGCCAACAATGAACAAGATCAAAGCTTTTTACCTCAAACAAGCTGGAAATGAAGCACATAATCAAGATCCACAAGCTCTTCCTTGATCCACAACCTTGCACCAAACTCCGTCTTCTTGGAAATGGCCAAAAAAACCAAAATGCACACCATGAGCTCAAAATCACATCCATGGAGGTTTAGAGACGATTTCTAGGGTTTTGGGGACTTGGAGGCTGGTAAAGAGGCCAACCATAAAGACTTAATGAGTTTTTATAGGGTCCAATACCAAAAATTAGGGTTTCTTAAATCCCCTCGTACGCCCCGCGTACTCCTCGTACGCCCATCGTACGAGGCCTCACATTCCCAATTAGCCCTTCGCACTACGCTCAGTGTATACGACATTACGCCTTGCGTACCCTCCTCCGCAGTAGTACGCCCCGCGTACTCCCTAGGTACGTCCCACGTACTAGGGTTTCCCTTAAAACCCTAACACAATCTGAATGCCATAACTTCTTCGATCTAAATACGATTCTGACGATCCATATATCCCCTGAAAAGGTAACGAGAAGCTCTACACTCTAATCAACTCGTACATGCCTTACCATTTCCAAAAAAACTTCAAATTTCCAAAAAGCCCGAGCTGACAAATTACCAAAATACCATTTGACTCCAAAACACAAACCGAATACCCGGATCATCCAAATTACATCATCCACCTCCAAATGAGCCCAAAACTCAAATCTTCAAGGGTCCTAAGCCTGCTAATACCCAATCCCTGATCACCACCCCAAAATAGGAAATGATTCGGAACAGGGCGTTACACTTTTGGTGTTAGTCGGTTCGCGAGATCGAGCAACGCAAGGTGTGAGGGTGTTGCTGTGCTTCTCCGGTTCTTCAGTCAGGTGAGTTTCTCACTATGCCATGTATCCCATTATATATCCTTTGCATGGTACTATAGAGGCACTGCTAGAGTACAAGTATGCTAGATGGATAGGATAACTCCTTTGTTATGCTTATGCAGTTTAGGACACTTGGTGTCTTGGTAGGCTAGACTGGTAGGGGCTTGCATGTTGATCATATGATACTATTATGAGTTATGCTTGGTTAAGGTAACTGGGGTAAGCCAGTTATCAGGATTATGTATGACTAACCAACGAAGGACTTAATTTGAGAAGTGGGCAATGGTATGGAAACTAGGGAGGGCTAGTTGCTAAGGGTTTAGATATGTTAGCATCTGTTATGTGTTTATGTTATATTGTTGGGTGGTAAAGATATTGTGGGTTCTATGTAGTTTAAGTTGGATAGCATGGGAGCTCTTGGTCTAATGCTTGATTGTGATGTTCTTATTTGATTGTTCGCTCTCGGGTGGGTCATCTGTTCGGTTGTCTGTCTGATCCCTGACTACACATGACTTTATATACTATATGGAAGACTAGGATCTGGACCCTGACAATTATATTAAAGACCATGATCTGACCCCTGGAAATTGTATGTAAGACCAGGATCTGACCCCTGACAATTATATGAAAGACCAAGATCTGGCCCTTGGCATTTGTATGGAAGACCAGGATCTGGCACATAGTAGTTGTATGTAAGACCCAGATTTAGACCTCGACATTGCAATGAAAGACCATGATTTGGCCCATGGTAAGATGTTATTGTAAGAATATGATTTGGCCTATAGCATTCACCTGGGGCTGGAGCAGACATGTTATTTCATGTATGATTGTTACGTATGTTTATGAGGATATGAACTTGGTTGGTCGGCGCTATAGCCGAACACTTTGTGTGGATGCATTGTATGTATGATGGAATATGTAGTATACTGGGGAACTCACTATGTTTTCCGCTTACAATTGTGGATTAAACATTTTGCATGTCGTTCGTGATAAGAGCTCGACGAAACTATAAACACACATCGAAAATGTTTGTTTCTGTGGTTTTGTAAATTTAACTCTGATAATGTATGATTTTAATCAAACAAATGTCGCTCAATGGTTTTTGAAGCAAAGGTTTAATTGTTTATTTTATTTTAAAATTCAAAATCGCTTTGTAATTTTTGGGACGTTACATATATCATATTCTATTGGCAACTCATCATCATCGATCGAGTCACTGGATGTTGGAGACTGAAAATAAAATATATTAACATATACATTAAAAACAACTTGCATAAACATATCCAATAATAAAACCAACCTATTGAAACCTATCTATAAAAACTATAATGACATTGCAAGTAGTCTATAATAACAAGTTTGTCTGAACTTGCTCCGGTCCTATCTTTCAGAGTTCTATCTGCTTTCGATTTAAGCTTTAACATCCTTTCCGATTTCATTCATAATTTTATAGGTGCATGTGCTGGTTTATTTTTTATTTTAATTTCTAAATCAGCATCCTGGATTGTTATTTGCAAAAACAAAATTCCAACAACATTTTAATTTATTACCATAAACTAACCTTTTTAACAAAATTTTAATTGCTTTTATCTTTATCGGACGCAATTTTCAAAGCTTTTGGAAATGAAATACAACTTTTTCGTCCGTAAAACCCACTTTTTTTAACAACATCCACGTAAATTCGTCTTTGGACTAATAGGGGTTATTCAACAATGTCAGACACCAAAATAATTAATAATCAATTTTCATTCCGGTTTGGCATTCCGGATTAAGTTCTTCATATTCCAGATTAAGTTCTTCGTATTTTGGAATAAGTTCTTCGTATTCCTAACCTACCGAACCATTCCAGATTCTCTAGAAAACATAGTTTCAGACTAAAAAACGGTCTTAAACACACTCTAAGATACTTACATGCACCTCATATATGAACAACAACAAAAAAAACATACAAAAAATGGACATTCCGGACTCGTTCATCGTATTCTGGAGTGTTCAACACATTTTGAAATATGTATACTTATTTGAAAACTCAAATGCAAGTAACTTAAAGAGTAGAATTTACTTGATTTGACGAATCCATATTGAAAATTAGGTCAGAAAGCAGGTAAAACGAACTTCGGATTTTTAGAATCCGGAAAGCGCATTCTAGATTTTTATGTGTGGGACCCATATATATTAGACTACAGTATTGAGCTTGGGCCGTTTATTCTAGTCCGGAATGGCTCATTCCGGACCAAATGGTTAGTTTTCGAAAAAAAAAATGGTTAGTTTTGTTAACTACATCTTAAATTGTGGTTAGATTACTCAATTTCCCTTAATAAAATGCATTTACAACTTAATACAATCAATCTAATTTTTAATAAACAAAATCCATAACTTAATACAAACATTATTTCACAACATTCATCAAATCAAATAAACCATTTACATATTATTATTACACAATATTTTTAAGATCAAATAGATTATTATTACACAATATTTTTAAGATCAAATAGGCTAGCGGCTGATTAGTAAGCTCCGGTCACATTTAACACATTCAACAGGTAATCAAATTAACATATTTCTGTTCAAAAAAACTTATATGTTCTGTTTGACGGTTTGAGTTTGTTTCATCGATGATTTTAACTGTTCTAGTTTGATTTTCCTTTGCATGAGAGTCGCAATATTTTTGGTAGTTTGGAGTGTCACTCATTTTTTTTCTTATCCATCATCATTATCTTTGATATAAGTTTCAATTCTTGTATTGGTGGTCATTTTTGTTTTAACTTTTGGCTTTGTTATTCAGGTTTTAAGTGTTTGGTTTCTGTTGTCGTTTCAAAAATTTTATCCTTGTAATTATTTTTTCTGTTAGTTTTTTTATTAAAAATGCTTTTACTTTACCAATTTTGGTTTTGCTGTTAAAAAAAATCATGAACAGATGGCGAAACCCCGGGTTCGTTCATGGCCACAATTTCCGATTCCTCCTTTTCCATGGCAAATAAATGTCAACCACCAATTGACCACAAAAAAATCAAATAACACAACGTAAATTACAAAACTACCCTTACCCTCCACGTAAGCATATCAAATGGATTAACCTTCCACGTGGTCCAATAACAAGCTAGTATCTCCCAACACCTAGCCAATAATAATCAGCATATGGATATTGCCCCTAAAAATCTCCTCCATATTTAGTCACCAGTCACCACCATCATTATTCATCCACAACCACAACTCCACCACCACCACCGCTAAAAATCCTCCATTTCCATTCCAGATTCATACATTCTTCTTGGGAATGGCTTCCAATACATTAATGAGCTGCGGCATCCCCGCCGTGGGCCGCCCCTCGCTTCTCTCCTCTTCCAAATCAAGATTCGCGACTGCTGTGCCACTTTCCGGAGTTACCACCAACGCATCTCGGATTTCCATGTCCGCCGAGTGGATGCCCGGACAACCACGACCACCGTACCTTGACGGATCTGCACCTGGGTACGTTTTCTTCCGTCTGACGATTAACTAGTTTCACAAGAAACGATTTTTGAAGCTGATTTACTGATCTTGTGTGTGTTTCAGGGATTTTGGGTTTGACCCACTTGGTCTTGGTGAGGGGTCCCAGAGAACCTTGAAAGATTCAAAGAGTCCGAGCTCATCCACTGCAGAGGGCTATGCTTGCAGTAGTAAGTCATTCATTAACGAAAAAAATAGCAAGGATTAGTGTTATATGTTTGATATCTATATATATATACTATATATATATATATATATATATATCTATATATCTATATATATATATATATATTATCTATATATATATATCTATCTATATATATACAAGTTACAATTATTATTTATTAATACGTTACAAATTTGCAGCCTGGGATTTTGTTACCTGAAGCATTAGGATTGGGCAATTGGGTAAAAGCACAAGAATGGGCAGCCCTGCCCGGCGGGCAAGCAACATACCTAGGGAACCCGGTGCCATGGGGTACCCTACCCACAATCTTGGCTATCGAATTCATCTCCATTGCATTCGTAGAACACCAAAGGAGCATGGAAAAAGACACAGAAAAGAAGAAGTACCCCGGTGGTGCTTTTGACCCATTAGGCTACTCAAAAGACCCTAAAACCTTCGCAGAGTACAAGGTCAAAGAGATCAAAAATGGTAAATAAAACATTTATTACAAGTCTTTACATATATGTATATGTATATATATAATTATACCCTTTTGACTTATGTATATATTAAAATGAAATGTAGGACGTTTGGCTTTGTTGGCATTTGTGGGATTTTGTGTGCAACAATCGGCTTACCCTGGAACCGGACCATTGGAGAACTTGGCAACTCATTTGCCTGACCCATGGCACAACAACATTGGAGATGTCATTATTCCTAA